CCCGCATTCCCCCCCAGTCCCAAGATTCTAACATTGCTCTGTGGAGAGGGGAGTTGAATAATTCTGTCATTTGTTGCTACTTTATCAAGTGTCCCAAGGACTTAAAAATTGGCCAGAATTGTACTTACCGGTGATTTGATATTCCATGCCCTGGGTTTTGGAGGCCTGTTGAATAATTCAAAATCAAATCTATCAGCAAATTGCAAGTGTTTGTTCTGATCAATAGATCAGAGGCATCTTAAATAAAACATTTTAAAAGCAGTATCAACTTGTTCTTAAAAGAAGTTTATTTTAAAAGCAAGGGTCTTGACTGAATTTTTTAGGAATTTCCATTTGACTATAGATCTGACAAATGAGCAAGACTGCATTAAATCAATCTAGACCATGTCTTCCGGTAATGATCTCTCTGGCTGACAAAATATAAATTATGTGCAGAGAAATTAACTCCTGTTAGTATCTCTTACTTCTGCTCAGGTGACATCAAACAGATTATTTGTTGCTCTTTTTCTTCCCCATCCCCAGTGTCATCTTCTGCGACTTTGCCTTCTATCCAGCTTGGTGGAGTACCTGAGCAAAATTTCACCAATTACTCCTAAAATAACTAGTATTCTTGTGTCAGAGAAACAAAAGAGATTTTTACTTAAACTATATTTTTAATTAGGCATCTGCTCTAAGAGCACAAACTCATTGCCATGAGATAATGATGAAGATGATGACAATGATAATGACAGGGAAGATGTAGGAGTGCCAGATAAGAGTTTAAGATAAACGAATTTATTGACAGTCAAAGGCAAATAAGGGAATTTAGAATTAAACCAATAATTCATCAAGTTGAAACAAAGACAATCACAACCATGAAGAAGGTTTGGATACTTGGTCTTAATTAGCATAGATTTTGACAATTTTACTTCTCTGTTAACTCCTTAGTTTTTGATTCCATCGAGAAGATATCAAACACTCAGGGTGGTGTTTCATCAGCTATCCAAACACCTCGAATTTCGTCAAAAAATACCCTGCTGCGCATCGTATTTTCAACTCTCTTCTTGGTGTTTGGATTTCGAGATGAAACACTGTCTCTCATGTTTGATATATTACATCTGAACTAACCCAGTTCTTTACTTGAAAACTTGATCTTGTTAATGCTCAGAACAACTGGCTAAATCACCTGAATTCACTGAGCTGTTGGTTGCCAATTGATTACAGATTCAAGGAAATAATGGGAATGAGTCTAAACCAAGTAAGGCAAGTGAGTGAATTTGTTACCTACAAAATACAGAATTTAATTCCCTGAAGAAACATAAGGGAATGAACTGACAAAACAAAATAAGAAAAATGCAAAATTTAGGAAAATCACCAATAAGAATTGCAACACTAATAAGAGCAGTTTTAAAAACTTAAAATGAACTAATTTAGGATTGACTGGGTCAAATTCGTACTGGGTATTATGCATTTGCACCGCAGCTTAATTTTTGTATTGCCTTTATTGTG